GGTCAAAGAGCTGCAAAATGGACAAGCATTAGTTGCTTTGATGTTCATATTGGAAGAATCTGAAAGACAATTGGAGGAGTGGAAGATAAAGCAGATGGCAGACTCACCAGAGGCTCTCTCTGAAGCTGAAGTAACTGTTGAGTAAGTTAGATAAAATGAGCATTAAGAAATTATTGTGATTGAAATTTGCATTCATCCAGAAAGTTGCAAGAAAACTCAGGGATGAAATAGCTGAATTGCTCATGGTAGCATGCAGAGATTGCAAGAGGCCCTGTATTCTAGAAAAGGAGAAAGATTACATGAAAGGAGGAATGATGGGTGATAGAAGATTAACACTCATCGTGTTAATGAAGAAGATTAATAAAGAAGATTAACACTCATTGCTGCCTCCTTTTCTTCTATGATCAGAATCTGTTTTTCTGTCCCATAATATTGGACTTTGCTATGAATGTCTATGAGCCAGTGAAATTCTACACCTGCATGACTGAGAGGCCTTGAGCCACTTAGATTTTCAGGTAATGATAGATAGAGCTGAGTATTCTGCAACAGGTGGGAGTTTTGTGTTGTGTTCCTCATATTCAACCTCTATTGCTCTGACCAGGCTTGTCAGGCTTCATGCAAAAGAAACCCAATGAAACAAACCTTCCTTACAATAACTTACGGTAACGATAAAACAAGACAGAATAATCTCCCTCTGCAACCTTCCCCAAAACAAGTATGCAGACTAAATCAGATCAAACAGATCAAAAAACCCTCAAAGATGTCCCTGTGAGGGAATATAATTTCATATTTACAATATCAGGCAAAGGATCAACTGCAGTAAATCCTTGAAAACACATTTATATTGCATGAACTATTAATAAATAGCACAAATAAAATGAGTATTAACTTTACATTTTTTTTGAAAACACTTGGACGAATCTTTTCCTTCCATAGGCATCAATCAGGAATGAATGTCTTGCATTATTTTGTAAATTGAGAATAATTACCAGGATAAAAACTTAAACTGTTAGCTGCCTGCTAAACCATTAGCTTTAGTATAATCATATCTGATAATGTGAATGAGAGGAAAAAACAGACTCATTTAGAAAAACACTTCCCTATGTGTGTTATTTGTATGCATGAAGTATTTCTCTCTGTTGTTAAAGTTGAGCATGAATCTGGGTCCTTTAATGATAATGGATTTTTTATGTTTTATTATGTAAATGTGTGATCTTTACAAATTGAGCCATTTTCCTTTCCATTTGAAAGTTGTGGTCAGGGAGCAAATTACTTAATTTAAGCAATGGTTTTCTAAGACTGTGTTTCTAACTATTTAGAAGCTCTCAGGAGTGTTTTCATGACTTCTCTTTTTTCCTAAAATAGGTTGCTAAGAGTTAACAAAATCTGTATGAGCGAATAAGTCCAAATCTATACGGCTTCCAGTGAAAACATGATTCTTTCAGGTAAATAGAGGATAACCAAGTTTGAGGGATAACCTGTCCCTTTCTTTCCCTGTCCACTGTGACAGCGTTTTATCTGGAAGCTATTAGCTCTAGCGTGTTTTCTCATTTCTACAGATACTATTTATCCATGCAGGCTCCATTCTCAGTGGCTTATAAATAAGACATCAGTAAAAAGTTAGAAAAAAAGAGAGGCAGTAAAAAAAAAAATAAAAAAGAAAGGACGACATATTTAAATAGGCCAAAGGAGATGAAATAACGCAAATTGAGGGAAGGAAAATGGGGTAGAAAAGTAGATATAGGCAGGAAAGGAGAAGGTGAGCAGCTAAAACAAACTGATGAGAATATGTCATGAAAGGTCTAGGGTCAAGACAATTTCTCAGTCATATCTGTCCAGAGAATCAGCAGCATTAATAGCAGCCATTCATAAAATTCTTTTCTCAGTTACATGTTTTTCACTTTGTTATCTTCAGGGCTTTCTCAAGACTGCAGTAAAACCATATAGTCTAGTTGCAGAACTACTAGGAGCTAAAAGGAGCAAAATCATGGGATGGTGTCTCTTGCAGTTATTCATGTTGTTATTTGAGTGGCTGGGATCAACACTGTTGATGTGAATAAATACTTAGAGGAATATTCAGAAGGATAGTGCTATTTTTATGTCATGATTCTCCTATGTTTTGCATCATTTTAATGCACAGGAGATATATTGACCAAGGGGATTTTCCCATTAAGCATATTCTGACTAAATGTAATAGAATGTAGTATAAAGATATTTCATACATTCACGAACACTGTAGGAATTATAAAGACATTAGCAGATAAACTGACTTTCTTTGGGCCCAGCCACAAAAGAGCTGAATTTTACAACAAAGTCGATAGAAATTTTCTGAGCCTATTACATTAATAGGTGAGTTATTATCAGTAGTATATAACATAGAAAAATAGTATTATCAATCATTATTTTGCTATTATCTTTTTTTTTTTTTGCATAGGTAGAAGATCTGGGCTAATAACACATGATGGTAGAGCACAATCTTACCTTTTTACAAATATTTAACAAATCAAATTGTCTGGGATAAGAACCCAAATTAAACATTACCTAACCCTAGAGTGATTTAGAGCCGGTCACAGCTATCTGGGAAAAGAACATACTGGGATGCTTCGTGGTCATGAAGCAGATGTGTTGTTTTTGATAGTAAGACCACACATGAAAACAGTTCAAGCAGGAGATTTTACACAAGTTATGTGAAATGCAGCTGTGCAGCATTTCTAGAATACTACTAAGGGAGACACTATTTTAATGAAGCTGACCTTCCAAAGGCCTGTAGGACCAGTGCATTTAACTAGCCAGACATAGTCCTAAGAGAGGAGCTGCAAAGGCAAAATAAACAGGAGGCCTACAAACTGTTTTCTTGTGTGTCAAATTAATTACGCTCTTCAGCATTTTAAGCACATTTCCATTCAATAACAGAATTATGACAGGCCTGGTTTTGCATTTTGCCTGTCACCTTAAAAAAATTTGAACGCCTATTTCCAAATCTCACGTGGGGTTGAAAGCCAAGATAAGGGGATCAGAAGCAAGTGAGGGTGGAACTCATGTTGTGAATATTCAATCTTGTTTGCTTTTGCTGGAGGATAACTTGTAGAACTAGAATGAAAACTCTTCCGTGTCCAAAATGAACTTTTGTCACAGCTGCTTTATCCATCCCACCACATCTTTCTGTGCTTCTGTGAAGGAAAGCATTTGCATTTAAGAAGGAATGACTCTCACTGGTGTTATTTTACTTTAAAAATTTAGTCTTTTTAAATGTTATCCATTAACTGGGGTTAATATAATTAGTTACTTTTTGCCCTTCTAATTTTTTGTAATATTCCAGATTTGTAGGTGCTGTTAATGCATTATTTATTCAGACTGGGATAGAATTTTAGTGTCAGCGAGGTGAGGACAGTTTACTCCCAGGAAAGCTATACCTTATAGCATGCATTTAATTTGTGAATTTTGCATTAAGGGCAACCAGTGTGCTTTGTTGTTCATTTCTGTGAATTGGCTTCTGTGCAGTAGAAAAGCAACAAAATGTTCTTTAAAATGACCTATTCCATGTCAATGGTAAAATAGAGATGGGCCAATGCTACAGCAGATTACTGGTCAACATTCACAGGAATTGGCTATTGTTTTCAGGAATGTAGGCAGAAAGTGAAAATTTTCTTAAATTCTTACACAAATTTGTAGGAATACAGAGATTTAATTTCAAGGAGTTATGAGAAGTGATCTTTTAAATAACACTGACCAAGAGTTTGATATAAAGTAGCTCTGTTACTAAACAGAAGAGTGGTAAGGATTTCATTGCTGCCAAAATCGCAAGCGCTATGGAACAAGCAGTAGGTTGTCGGTTCCGGTCCACGTATCAGTACTTCACGTGCACATCTGAATAAATGATTAAAGGAGTAGGATTCAATGGTTACTGGGGTAAAGTAAATTTTCCCTTTGATTTTGGTAGATCAATGACTTGGTCTGAAATGGATACCAGAATGATTTGTGTAAATGAATTAAGAATAATTACACTATTTTTAGTAATGGTTCGGTAGTGCCCGGTATTTTCTGAGCCTGCTTCATAGGTATGTTTACTTGCGAGTTTTCACACTAACTTACAGACATGTAAATCCATAAAATGCCACCTGTTTTTATGCCTGTCACTCCAACAGTATCTTCCAGACACTAACCATCTGGCTGTAGACGAAATATTCGGTAGCCAAACTGAGCAACAGCTTCTTTGGTTTTGATGGATTTTGCAATGGGATGTCTGTTCCCCAGGTACAAATATGTTGATTTTTTTCTCTCAAGCTGAAGTAAGCTGTATTCCAAAAATGAATCAACCTCCATCTCTCCTCATCCAGTAAAAAAATCTGTGACCTTTCAGCCACCTTTACTGAAAGTTATGGCAGTTAGTGCATCTCTAATGATCGTGGAATATAAGACAATATAAAAAAGAATTAGGGTGGATCTTAACTAAAGGAAGAGAGGACAGAGAAAAAGAAAGGCAAAGATTAAAGGGAGAGATCTGTGTAAATGAGAAACTGCTCGTAAACTAGATCTTATCAGATGTTGCTTAAATGTGCATGTAGAATGAATGAAAATGAAAATGTTTCAGGAGAGAATTTTACATTTAAAGAAATAAAAAAAGAAAAAAGAAAATACAATCATATAATGCAGAACAATTCTTCCAGCCTTTTACGGAGACATGCATTTACAGATTTTTTATCTATCTCTCTAAAACACAACAAAAGGTTGGAAATACAACATAGATCCCTGAATTAGGGGAGAGTCAAACTAAAGGAGGAGCTGGACTGAAAAACAACCAGCACTTCTGCATTATTTCTTGCTCACTTGAATTTTTAGCTTTACCAATCTTGCATGGTTTTAATCCAAAATGTTTCCAAGAGCTGAGTTAATTGGTGAAACATCGCAAAGTTAAACTAACTCCCCTGCAAGGAAATGGGCTCTCCCATTTTTCTCACATGATTATCTAGGCACTTTCACTTTTCCATATATAGGAGGAACACAGGGCCTGACAGATCAAACCAGGTAGGGCTCCAGAGCAAAGGCACATGCATACTGCCTGCACACATAGCCAGCTACAAGCACGTGCTGATTTCACACACTGAAATTCAAGTTAGCGTAAGAGGTAGTGACTGAAAGCAATAGCAGTTCTGCTGCTATAGAACCTTCTCCCTTAAAAGAAGAAGGCACTAAAGTCAGAACTCTTCAACTGCTGTTGAATAATCCATCAGAAAAGCATCAAAATCATGAATGGGCCGGTGGATGGCTTATGTGATCACACGCTGGATGATGAAGGAGCTTTCATGTTCACATCAGAGTCTGTAGGAGAAGGACATCCAGGTAAGAAATCAGCTATGGCAAATATGTAAGAGGCATAATATTTTTATTTGCAATCTGTTTTTAAAAGCATGACAAAGAATTTGTTCACTATTAGTGTTGTTACAGAAGGGATTCCTAGCAGGGCACTTCTTTTGTTATTTCCATTGGACCTTGTTGGTATAGACTGTAGAGACGTGATAGCGAGGGTGTTTCCAACAGAAGTTCCTGTGCCTTTGCAGGGTGTGTGTTACACTGGGGAGGGCAGTGGGATTTGTGCTTGCTGCTCCTTCCCTTTCATCCAATTTTTTTTTCCAGTGGTACAGTGGAGACACTACTGTATCCCTGATAGGCTCAAGTTTCACATATGGATAAGAATGCATTACTTGCTTCTCAAGTTCCATATCTTTATGGGCTCTGTGAAACTCCTGCATACATGCTATGCTCTGAAACTGTCTGTCACCCGTCTCCAGAATATCTCTTAAGCAAGCTATTTTAAAGCCCTTGAATTCAATGGTCTCAGCAGCTGTACGTGGCAGAGCTGCTGATATTTTTTCCGCATTTGATCATCTGTCTTTTGATGCAATATATGGACTGCTTAAGCAAATAGTGGATAGTTACTTGCTAAATAGTATGGTCAGCAGAGTTTAGTTCAGGGTTTTTATGAAAACAAATGTTCACCTGCCACAAATATGTACTTTATGTCAACAGAAGTGTTCCCCCAAAGGAGGCCAGGGGACAACAGGCTATTTGATGTCCCGAAAAGTGTATTTATTTTAGAAGGCTATTTGGCATCTTGTACCTTCTGCCATGACCAGGCTTTTTTTCAGGTCTGTAGTCATGTTATACGAATAAATCATAAATTGGAGTGATGATAAAGCAGTAAAGAAAAAGTAGTACAAAAACCACTGTTATGTCTATAATTCTGATACATTTCTACAAGATTACCTGTGTTTCTTCAGAAAGAGTCCACAGCTGATGCAACTGAGGACCTTTTTTTCAGTTTCAGGGCAGCTACATCAGGTTAAGCCAGTTGGGGTTCTTTCTCATGTAACAAGGTCAGAAAATGACAGACACATTCAGTCCTTGGGACATAGGTCCCTTCTCAAATTTATATATAATTACATCTAGTGCAATGGGAAATATAATTTCATCAGAAAAATAATGTTTAATTGTTATTTCCGAAGATGAGAGGTCACAATTCATGCTACCCTAATCATTAATTTATTTGGGGCCGTAATAGGTAAGTCCCAGAACAAGAGGAGTTCTAGTTCAGATTAGTCCACACAGATTTAGCTTTGTCCCTTACCTTGCTTCCACAGTTCACTTTTTGTCTTGCTTCTTGTTTTAGGATATGAACCTGTTTTCCAGCTCTTATATTCCTCTCTACTCCTAAAATATCTATTGGCCCTCCTAGACCTTCTCCAAAGAGCATTATCCTTCTCCTGTTCAGAAATATTCA